CCTCCCGGCCCCGAACCGGCCCGCTCGCAGGGGCCTGGAGGGCTCCGGGGCGGAGGCTTCGCGCAGGCGGCGCCCCGGCGTGTGGCGCGGGGAGCGGAGCGGGCAGGGCCGGGCAGGGCCCGGGCCTGGGCGCCCCTCGGCGGGGCCCGCAGCGCGGAGCCCGCCCGCCGTCTGCTCGCCGCCGAAGGCGCGCGGTTGCTTGCCCGGGCCCCCGATCGGCCGCGGAGCCGCCCCGGCGGGGCCTGGCTGCGTACGTGGAAGGCTGCGAGGGAAGTAATCAAACTGCGATTATATCGTTCTGATACTTTGTATTTCTTGGTAGGAATTTGTTTTCTGCATTCTGGGAGTTTGGTTGAATACTGTGTTGCGAGTCTTGTGACTTCAAGCTCTGAACCGGTGCATTTTTCTTCCTGTAGCTTTTGCATTTTCTTCAAGAGTTCTCCCAGCAAACGATCTCCAGGACACACGAAATCAAGAAGCAACTGGACAGACTGATTCATGAAATGAAAAGTACAGATTGCCGCCTGCACAACGTCTTCAATGGGTTCCTGATGCTTTCGAACACCCAGTTCATTGAAAACGTGAGTACGCTGTGATCACATGCTGGTCATGAGTAGAGACTTCTTGATGCCCAGATCTTAAGAAGGCATTACGGAAGAAACTGGACTCAGCACCATCAATTTGATAGTGTTATTCGTGTGTCCATGTGTGTTACAAAGCGAACACATTGTAGTAGCTTTTTCCTATGTTCCTCCGCATTTCTAATTTGCTTATAGAAATGACATCACCTGAGCCTGAAATCTGACATCCATTTGTTCTGTTGGATCGTTTTTTGGCAATACAATTCTGGATGGAGTGCTTGTGAGCAGCAGTCAGCTGCCTCTCTGAAGCCCTTTGGAATGAAACCAGGAGTAAATTGAAACTGATCATGCTTATCTCATTGATTTATCTAGTTACCAAGGGTCTTTTATTTATAACTGAATAATTCAAGGAAAAATGTACACCTGCCCATTTTTCATTTGCCACATTAAAATTATAGTACATGTATATATCTATCATTAACTGAAAATAATAACAAAACATACATTGAAATGTTAAGCTTCCCAGTAGTGCCATTTTTCAAGAGTAATCTAAAATCTGAGAGCAAATAATATTACAAAATACACTTCTTGGCTTGATTAAGGGCCAGTCTAAACATGATGGCAGTACCTTTGGATGTTTACATGAAGTTCTTCCAATATCATGTAGATAATGAGTTTGGGCATTCAGTATTATACAGAAGAGAGATGCGAATGTGAGGAAAAGAAGCAACTTAAAATCCGTGGCTGCTTTTCTCAGGAGCATTTCTCCCACCTGAGGTTCAAATACCAGAAGTGAGCTTGCTTAGTGAGAAGATTCGGAGGAGGTACGGCACCAGAGCGACTGTTACCAGCATGTTTCTCGAATGCCTTTAGTTGAATGGTTCTCTCTGCCTGCACCTGTATTCTTCACAGTCCAGTACAGAGGAGCCACAGCTTTACCTACTTGGGTACCTAACTTCTTAATTGTTGTTGACAGAAGTAGATTGGTGACTTGGCTTTGCTTGTGATTTAGTATACGCATCTAATACTAAAATGTAATTAAAATATTTATTTTATTTATAGAGAGTATATGATGATGAAGTGGAGGAACCCACACCCAGAACAGAACTGGGAGACAAGCCAGAACAGGCAAGTGCATTGTATAAGACTTCTCTGCTGGTGACGTTCACAGTATGTGTGCGATGCTGAAGCACAATAAATGTTTCCCTTTGTAAAGGGAAGCTGAGTTGTTAGTGTCACTTGGGCATTTGTGGTGGCCAACCCTTGCGAAGGCCAGGCTTGCTTGCCACTCGCTGAGCAAGAGTTCAGGTTCATGTGGCTTTAAGTTCAGCTGATATGGCAGCCCATCTCAGGGAAACAAGCCCCAGAACAACTCATGGATTCCTGGAAAGAGCTGCCTGTGGTGGGGGATCCTTGCTGGGCTTACACAACACAACAGCCAGTTGCTGACTCTTCTCATGGGCTCATTGGCAGGTCATTTTAGTGGGGCTGCATTAAGCACTGTTGAAGAGCTACAGCTGTAGCTACAGTGCAGCGTGTCTCATTTCAGATGTGGGGCAATATGGATATATTCACCCTGAGCTGCCTGAACTGCACTGGTCATCTCTTCTGGGCACAACTGGGGTTCTGCGTTTTATCATGAAAACCTGAAATCAGCAGGTCTTCCTCACCTTTCAAACTGTACATATTATAATGAGCTGCTTGTTAGAGCAGGAGTTTTTCAGCACTAGCTCTAGTCCTGGGGAATGGGTTCCTGGCTGTGTTGTGTTCAACCCATGGCATTTAAGAAGACTGGTCAGATTATTCTGCTCTGGCAAGATGTCAGTCTTGCTGAATGTGCTTCTATCAAAGTATTCACTTTATCTGGGGCACTTTGTTTCCTTCCACTTCGCTCTTTAGTACAGCAACTTTGTTGAGAATGACTGTGCAGCGCTGAACAAAAACTCAGTTTGTGCCATTGGACTTAAGAACATTGACAGAAACAGGAAGTTAATGGTGAAATTTCCTGCTTTTGATTCTGAAGGAGAAAACCCGTGAGCAGAAAGAAGCTGATTTGATTCCGAAAATCCAGGAAGCTGTGAATTATGGGCTGCAGGTGCTGGACAGTGCTTTTGAGCAACTGGACATTAAAGCAGGGAGCTCAGATTCTGAGGAAGAAACTAATGAAAGGGTTGAACTCATACTGGAGCCCAAGGTAATCGGACTTTTCTTATCTAAGCTGAAGAGAGAGAACAAGGCGTGGCGGATTGGATTAGGTCAGGGAGATGTGGGTTGAGTTCCTTAGTAGTCACACTGACTGAATAACTGCTGCCTAGTCCCTGGCTGGAGTTGCGTGACACAAAGAGCCACCATGGGCAACCAGACACGGTGAGCTGTGTTATCCGGGCTCTGCAGTTTCCGTAAGGTGGCTCTCGTTCACGAACAAGCTGCCCTGTGAACCCACAGCTTGTTTTAGGCTTCTTCGTTCCCATGGTGGCCTTTTCTGCTATCCAAACACAATGGGGGAATTTTATTTTGTGTAGACACACTTTGCGGAAGGGCTCGTTGGCCAGGGTGGCAGAATCTGCTCCTGCTCGCTCACCTGATTTTTCCTTCCACGGATGCCGACATAACACGCTGGATGATTTCCCTGCTTTACAAAAAAACTGTGTCCAGAAATGTGCAGTTGGGCTTGCCATTTAAAAAAATACGTTGTTGTTGTCTGTCTTTGACAGGTGTGCTCTGTGAGTGCTCAAGGGGGACGTTCCCTTCTCTGTTTTAGTTGTCCAAAGGAGCCATGTCAAAGGGAGCAGGCTGCGTACTGCACAGCTGAGTGCCACGGCTTGCCCGCTGTCAGTGGAGGAGGGGGCGAAAGTAGTGCTGTACTGCTGCCGATGCTTGCACTTCCTTTCTGTTTCTCAGATCCTAAATGTGCACGCACGTCTGTATTTCTTGTGCTGTTCTGCATCATGCAACCCCAGTAGATGCAGAATTAAGTACTCTGAAGAGGAGCTGTGAAAATGAGCAGAGGGGGTGGATATTTTTGCTTTCTGGAATAGATTGTGACTTGCGGGTATTGAAAAGTAGACAGTGTGCACAAGTATCAGTCCCACACTTCAAAGTAAAAGGATCTCATCGCTAAGGGGCCACTTTGGTTGCATGTTCTGTAGCTTTCTCCCCTTTTCTGTGGCTTTTCTATTCACAGACAATTTGCCTATATGCATGCCCCTTGACAGCTGAAACAGAAGAGGCTATTGATAAGCAAGACTGCATATCAGATAGCTTAAGAGTGCACTTGTGAAAGACAGACCCCCCCCATCGTCTGCCTGCCTATTATATCACGCTGGTGATCTCAAAACACTTATGTATTTGCCTTTTCACAGGATCTGTACATCGACAGACCCTTGCCATACTTAATTGGTTCGCAGCTTTTCATGGAACAAGATGATGTTGGCCTTGGTGATCTCTCCAGTGAAGGTGTGTGATAGAATTAATAATGGATAGTACAGATTAATTTACTTTTATCATTTGTGGTGGCCTGGGTGGTTCCTAACTGCACGAGGCTTGCTGGTACAAGGTGACTATGTAGAAAACCTGGCATCACTGGCCTGTAACGCCAGCCCCTGACCTTTGGCTAGCTTCAAGTCCTGCAGTTGTATTTACACAGCCTGAACCGATTCAGTGGCAGCTGGTTAGGGTGTCAGTGTGAGAGAGCTGCTGGGCATGCCTGAGTATCCCAAGTCAGATCTTCTTCAGCTACGGTGGTATCATGACTGTGCTCCAGTCTGTGCTTGAGCATCTTTCCTGGCTGATTTCCTACGAAACATCTGGGTTCTTTGGAAAACAAAGCCCCTTTTTAACCGCACGATCTGCTGTTTAATACAATTCTTGTTTATTGCCAAACCAATTTCTTTCTGTAGTTTGGGGACAGAGCTGGGCTATGAAGAAGGATCCAGAATAGGATTGGAGCCAAACCTTCCCTTCATTTCACCTGTGAGGGAGGGGTCGCTGAACTGAAATCTTTCTATGGAAATCTCCTGTACTACTTTGACAGTAGCTGACCCCCCTGGAAAGACCCCTGTTGTGCACATAGGAACCTGAAGGATGCTGCTTTTCCTCAGTCTTGGCAATGAGAACCAGAATGATTTGTTCAGTGAGCAGAGAGGACTGTGTACACCTTTGTGTATTTATTGAATTTGCAGGTAGCTTTTTTCCAAAAGCATGCACAGCAGCTAAACTTTTATAGTGATTTTAAAGAAACGCTCATGCAGTGTTGGGGGCATCTGCCTGATGTGGGCTGGGTCAGAACTGCCAACAGAAAGGAAAGGAAAGGAAAGGAAAGGAAAGGAAAGGAAAGGAAAGGAAAGGAAGGAAGTTGCTCTTGTGCCCATGTATGTGCTTGAAGTCTGGAGCAAAAGCACTTCTGTTTGATTTGCTCTTTTCAATTTCTCCTTGGCACAAAAGGCTCGGTAGACAGTGATCGTGGCAGCATGGTTGACAGTGAAGGAAAAGAAGAAGAGGTAAGAAGACTTTTTTCTTGAGCATGTTTGTGAACTTTGAAACATAACGTTGCAAGGCTTTGGGGAAATCATAGACATCTGTCCAATATGGTGTGGGGGATGCTGGTAATTTTGATATAAATAAACTACTGAACATTCATAGCTCTTCTTAAGTATTCCTAAGTGCAGGTTTTCTTTAGAAGTGTTTTTGATTTGCAGGATTTAGTAGAAGAATTTGGGAATGTAAGTGAGGAAGACCAGAAACAGGTAAGAAATGTACTGTGTGCTTTCTACTATACCTGTATTCAAAAGCACTTGGGCAAATAAAGTATAGTGTAGACCACGGAATTCACAAGGGCTGTGATAATTAAGCAAAACCATCTAGCCTAATCACAGCAGTTGAGGTTTCTAACTATCTTTCTAACTTGCTTTGTAGATTCAGAATATGAATCCTTTGTCATGCAACAATATACTTTAGTCTTGTGTAAATGTGCATGTGAAATACCAGGAAAAATAATGACCCAGCTACTTGTCAAAATACTGTTTCTTTTTAAAAGGAGGTGGCTTGTACTTTTTCATGTTTTTGAGCACCTGAAGTCTTGGGAACAAACGCAAGACTAAGAGCACTCTTGGAGCAGTTCTGTTCCCCCATCCAAAATGTGACAATCTTGTCTTCACCACTGTTGGAAGCACAGCGCCTGTGTGCCTTTGCTTTAACTTAGCGGCGTTCCTTGTGTAAATGTTAAACCAACCGAACTGCATCAAAAGCAAGGGGAGGGCATTTGCAGCCGGGGTGGGGACCTGCTGCATTGCATTCTAGTTGCACTATACTTCCTTTGCATTGCTGTCCCAGCCATGACATCTGCCCCAACTTCCCAGTCTGAAAAAAAGGGTGGGCTCAAGGGCATTGCAGCATAAAGTGTAGGGTTTGCCACTTTTTCAGAGAGCAGTTTTGCTGAGTGATGAAGATGATGATCTTTTTGCTGACTCTGAAAGAGGGGAGGAGGAAGAAGAAGGAGACTTAGAAGAACACGCAAAGCTGGTAAGATAGCTTCACATAGGAGAGTGGTTCCACAGCACAGCTTTTCCTGCTGTTGTGATCTTGTTGAAAGTTGATGAATACGCTGCTCAGTGTTTGTGAAGGAGTATGAACTTTCTGGTGCCTCTTGGTTGGCCAGAATGGGAGACATCTTAAAACCTTATTTAACACTTCTAGCAATTCTGAAATGTAAAAATCTTTCCTTTTTAATACATGTGTTTCATCAGAGAGTGGTGATATACTGACCTTTGGCTAAGTTGTTGCTTTTATTCTCTGGTCTTCTATTTTATAAAGTTAGTTTAGTTTTCTGAGAAGCTAAGCTAATTTTTATTTGAACAAATGTTTGTAACCAAATTAAAACTTAGCCATACTTTTTCTCTCTCCCATTTGTCCCCACATGAATTCGTCAGAAAAAGAAAGGGACTACATCATTCACAAATGAACTTGCAGCTCGTATCAAAGGGGACCAGCTCTATAAGCAAGAGGAACCATGCTGTAAGCTGCTCTTTCTTCCACAGCAGTGCTGAGGCTTGTGCATATGTGTGGAGGCAAGAAACAATTTTGATTGCCGTTAGGAAACATAGTTTTGCTTTGTGGTGGAATAGTACAGCTTGACTTTTTACATCTTTCAGCTAATGTTCAAATAGCATTAATGACTTCTGTCAGAAAGTTCAATAGGGTTTCTCTGACTTCAAAACACAAAGAAGGTCATGAAATTCTCCATTAGGTTAAACTCTTTTCATTATGAACATTGCTTTTTTAAAAAAAGAGAGAGAACTAGAAGATGACATTTTTAGCACTTGTATAAAGTACTTGCACTCAGACTTTTGTTTAAAAGTCTGAGTGTAAAAACTTGAAATAAGTTTTGCCATCAATACAAATACATGTGAGGCCAGTTTTGGTTATAGTCATTTTAGATTGACTGGCCTGCATGGGATAACAAACTTGTGATCTAGCAGCTAACTGGAAACTTGACTCCGGACGCTCTTGCTAGGATTTGAAAAAAGCTGGAAGCCATTGAGATAAAGGGAACACTACTAACGGTCATATTTGTCAGATCTGAAGCTTCGATTGTAGGGAAGGAGGAATATTTCTGAGTGAGTCCTGTGTGAAAAGCACAGCCATGGAGTAATGTTATCCAAGCTGGAGATTTTTCTTTTAGTTAGTTAGTTAGTTAGTTAGTTAGTTAGTTAATTATTAAGGGTATTTCTAACCCGTCCATTATTGTATGTGTCTGGACAGCTTAGAATAAATTACCCAATAAATACAACATTATACATACGTCATAATAAATATATCATAAGAACCCATGGCTGAGGATAAAAACATAATTAAAATTTAAACTTTAAAATACTGGGTAAATGAAAAGGTTATTTAGTTAAAGGTGGCTGAATTTTGCTATTTCTTGTTTCATGTCAAATGCTATTGTTAAAAAAATGCAGTGGTGAGGAGGAGCATCGGTCACTTTTCCTGTCAGTCTTGGTGTCCATTTTTCCATGTGTCTGTCTCTCTGTCTTAAATATAGGCTGAGCTTAACTAATCTATTAAATTGTTCTACTTGAACTTTTAGCCGATATAAAAAATAAGACTGCAGTGGCTGAAGAAGGAGGAGGAGGAGGTGTTCCATCAGATGGTATGTGTTCTTTTTTTTTATGAACCAGGTTCTGTTTGAGTGGTAGGAGAGGGAAACGATGCGGGCATTTTAATGTCGTCATTACTGTTAGGGCTTGGAAATCCCTTGTTTCCTTTCTTTACTCTCCGAAGAGAAGGGTGCCTATGGAGAATTGGTGGAATGCTTGCGTGCTTTCCTTTCTGCGATGACCGTCTCTGTTGGCTGTTTTAAGCTTTGACGACTTGCCTTTAAATGCAGGCTTGCTTTATTCAGTTATTCAGTGCTAACTCTGGCAGTTAGTGAGCTACAAAGGAGCTTGACACCCAAGACAGCTCAGTGAGTCATAGGAAATGCTGTTTGAGCCCTGAGTCCTGGTTGGTGCTCCCAGTGGACTATACATTCATGGTTCCTATGGATCAATTGCCCTACTCAACTGCAGGATATCCGGGGCGGGGGCGGGATTGAGGCTGGGGGTGCTTCGGGGAGGATAGGCGTATCTGTTGTAGGAGGGGCCTAAGAGGCCTTGGGATTCTGATTGCTTTGCCGGTGCTGGCACTGCCTCAGTATGCTGTGAATTGAGGTGGCTCATGGGCTTCCATCTCTAAGATGGGCCACAGTTTGGGCAATTTAAAAAAACTAAAGAAATTTGCACAAATTACGATATTTGAAACTAAATTAGAAGCTGAAAACTATGCAGCTCTAATGTGACTCATACAGTTTGTGCCAGGACTAGGCAATTTTCAGTTTCCAATTTTCCAAATTGTATAAACTTGTGCAAATTGCACTATTTGCCCAAATTTCCTTAATGGTTTTTTTTTAATGCCTGCCTTCGAGTTCAAAGTCCACAAGATCCAGTCACTGGGACGGGACGTAAGCAGGAAGCCTGTTGCGCTCAAATGAGCCGCGCTTCCCCCTCTCGGCTTAATCAGAATTTATTTAGCTTCTTTCTGCAGAAGGTTCCTGAGGCCCTCATCACTGCTTCTTTTCTAGCTCCTTTGAAAGGAAGTTCATGCATCTCTTATGTGTTCCTAGATGATGAGGACATCTTTAAGCACCCCAAGCTGACTGATGCAGACTTCTCGCCATTTGATTCTACAAAAGGCCTTTTTAGTGGCGGGACAGGACTCTTCGATGACGAAGAGGTCAGTACCTGTTCCAGATTCCTGGGCTACAAGGCAAGAGCTGATCATAGGTGAACCTGTCGCCTGATTTCAGCAGCTGCTGACAAGAGAACATTGCCTGAGAGCCTCTTCTATCGGTCTTTGCAGGCCACTCCCTAGCCAGAACCCACTGCTGCTCTCGGTGTGTTTATGTAGCACCATTTTTAAACAGTTGACGATGCAATCTCTGTTGCAATTTAATTCAGTATGATAAAACCTACTTGTGTCTTGGGGAAGGTCCCAGACAGTTGTTTAAGGCGATACAGCTTGGAGACAATATAGGCACAACTGCCCTTTTCCTTTGTATTCTTTGAACACAGGCCAATGCCCAAGGTTATAGGAGAGCGCTACAGCTTCATTTGCAATCTGCAGCTAGTGGTGTCAGCTAAACTAAAAGCATTACTTTCCAAAGTTATTTATCTTTGGAAATCAAATTAATAGCCAAAACAATCCATGAGAATGTAGTATTTTTTAAAAGTCGTGTTTATTTGGTCTTCTCTCACTTTTAGTCTTCAGCATTTGGTCCCTTCCTTTCATCTGCTAACTGATCACAAATGCCCCTGTGACTCTTTCTCTTCTACCAGGGTGATCTTTTTGCTGAGGTGCCAAAAGAAGATGCCATAGAAAGAGAAGCACAAGTTCCAGCAAATGACGGTGAGGGATTTGTGGCTGGATGCAGATCCAGATGACTGTTTGAATGCTTAAGGAGGTTATGCTCACAACTTTGGGCAGCGGGACTTGTGCCCTTCATTCCACACTCCTGCTGCATTTGATGAGAGAAGGCTTCAGTAGCAAGCCAGTAGAATGCAAGGATTACTTCCATGCGCTGTGCCATGACTGGTGCTGTGTCAGGCCAGTGACTAGTCCAGCACGCCTGTGGCCTTTGGGTGTTGCCCTGTTCCTGCCTCCGGTTCATGGAGCTGGCTGTGAGAGGGTCTGAATGCCCCTAAGACCTGCGCACATTGATGATCAGTTAAGTCTCGGCGCAAGTTGATGCCACGCTTACCTGCGGCACTTCAGCTTCGTGATGCTCAAAGCGCCTGCTGAATGAGGGAGTAAATTGTTGTCCTGCCAGCTGGGAAGCCAAGAGTGAAGGAAACAGGAGGAGGGAGATGTTCGCAGCTTCCTCTTGCATGTCTTGAGTCAACCCTGGTCTCCCCTCCCACAGCAACAAAGCTTCTATGGGAGAATGTGGTGCTCTAGTGTTTAAATGCACAGTGGAACAGAAATAAATATTTTCTCTTTTTAATTTGTCGCTTTGTCTGTGCTTTTCAGAACCACCATTAAAAGCTGTGAGGAAAGTTCCTGCTGGAGCAGTTTCTCTCTTTCCAGGTGAATGGAAGCAGCGGGTTTGATGCTTTCCTCCTTCGGCTCCCACAGATCCCTTTCTGTGGGTGGTGCAAGTGTCCAGCGCACGCTCCAGGGTGCCTGTGCCCTCGACCATCCGGGCTGCAGTTGGCAGCACTGAGGCATTGTACCAGGGGAAGGCTTTCTCCGAACAGACCGTTTTGCTGGATAAATTGTGGTCCAGTGTCACCAGCAAACTTGGCCACTCCACTATCCACTCCTAATTTCACATCGTTCGTGAACAGACTGAAAAGCATTGGCCAGTACAGAACCCTATGGGACTCCACCATTGACATCTCATAGAAACAGTGAGAGCCAGAAGGGGTCTCCCGGGCCATCTAGTCTGACCCCGGCTCCAGTCAGTTCCACTCATGACATGCTCACCAAGTGCATGTCCAGCCTATTCTTGAACACCCTCACCAATGGGGCCTTGACCACCTCCTGTGGAAGCCCATTCCACACCCTCGGGGTCCTCACTGTCAGGAAGTGCTTCCTGGCACCTAAATGGAACCTGGGTTCCCTGAGCTTTGCTCTGTTGGAGCGTGTCCTGCCCTCCTCTGCTGGGGAGAACAGGTCTCGACGCATCTCCATGTGACACCCCCCCCTACTTACCTGTATGTCACCAACAGATCCCCTCCTTGGAAGAGTTGCCATTTATTCCCACCCTCTGCCTTCGGTTCTTTAGCCAGAAAAAATGCTGGCTGACCTGGTGGGAACAGAATGGTATCGCGGGCAGCACGAGCAGGGATCTTTCCCAGCTAAAACGCTCACCTGAGTTCCCACATCCCACTAGGGTTTCTTCATGCATGAAGTTCTCCCGGAAGCCCCTCCAGGCCAGATGCTTTGTCTTTCTAATGGTACTCATTAATCATGGCTAATCCAGAGGCAGTCCTCAGCCCATCCTGTGCTTGCATCTGATAGATGGGAAAGTGGTTTATAATTGAAACTACAGTGGTACCTTGGCTCACGAATGTAATCCGTTCCAGGACTCTGGTCATGAACGAAATTGCTCATGAGCCAAGTCAAATTTCCCCATAAGATTCAATGTAAATAAGGTTAATCTGTTCTGTAACTATTTTTTTTAATCGGAAAAATGTGAAGCAAAGTGACAAAGAACAACGATCGCAGCCATCTCCACCACCACCCCGAGCATGGGTGCAGCCATCTCCCCGCCCCCCTGCCCCCAGCACGACCATGATCGCACCTGTCATCCCTGCATGTGCCCGTCATTCTGGCGTGCTGGGGGGGAGAGAGACGGGCACAGACGCAAATGCGCTCGGGGGTGGGGAGATGACTGAGATTGCGGTTGCATTTGCAGGAAAGATGGGCGCGATCTCAACCATCTCTCCCCCCCTCCCAGCACAATCGCAGCCATCTCCCCACTCGGGGTGGGGAGATGACCACAATCATGGTCACCTCCTAATGCAGAGTTCATGACCTGAGTCAAAATTTTTATGAAATTTTTGTTCGCGACCTGATTTGGTCGTGAACTGAGGCATTCATGAGCCGAGGTACAACTGTAATTGGCTGCAGCAGAGACAGATTTAGAACCTCCCGTTAAACATCAGATGACCATGTTTGTCTCCTGTTTATAGGGAGTAGTGATGTGTTTAACCCCTCCTCATTTCCGATGGGGAAAGAGGATAAACCAAGAGAACCAATTGCAGATAGAACCCCCAGACTTCATGAAAATGTTGGCCTCTTTGATGACGACAATGATTTTGAGTCAAGTAAGAAAAGCCCAGGTAAGCTTGTACATTTTGGAATTCCTTCTCTCACTCTCTTTTATGAGATAACTGTCTTCAAGTGTCATATTGCTCTTCTCACTCAAAGACCCCACTTGGGAAGAAGTGCTGCGGAGTTAGAAGACTTGTGGTAAGAAAACACTGAGGGGCCTCAGGTCATCCCTTATTTCCAAAAATGCCCCTTCTGTGTCTCACAGGCCTGCTTCTGTTCCTCAACAGTAGCCAAGCATGCGAACATCTTTGCATGAAGATACAGTGATGTGGAAAGCTTCATGGGCAGCCCTTGTGTTGCTGAGTCCTGATAAAGGGGTCGCGACACATTTGGCAATGACCCTGACGTTGTGACGGTGGTCACTTGACAGAGGTGCGGGCAGCCCTGCTTTTCTGATGAGGGTACCAGTACGGGGCACCTTAAATGAATGTTTGCTTCACTCACGTGCTGTATTTGGTGTCTACCGAAAAACGTGGTGTGTGAAGCTCACAAGTAGGAGCAGTTGTTTTGTTTCTTCTGGTGGTTGTCAGATTCCTCCTTGGTTACATTGTGCTACTTATATTTGGTATATGTTTTCTTTTTGAGACACACAAACATAGATGCTTTCACAAAGATAAATATAACTCCCTCTTACAGTCTTGCTCTGGAAGTAAACAATTGCATCTTACTTTCAAGCAGCCACGTCTGCAGCCGATCTCTTTGATGCGGAGGAGGATCTGTTCAAAGAAAAGCCTACCCTGGCCAGTGCTGTGACCCATAAAACAAAAGAAAGTCAGGAACGGAAAGCAGGAGACAAGGTGATTGAGTAGCCTTGCAAATACAAAATGATGACCATTTGGAGCGCGCACTCTGGAAGAGCTGTCTCAGCTTTGATTCTCAGGTCAGCCTGGAAGCCGGAGGGTTAGCAGAAATACTCAGCAGGACGGTTGCCTCCAGAAACTTTCTCTGGTGCTCGCCAAGACGACTCAGTCCTCCCAGCCTGCATTTTAGAAATACGTATGTTTTTGTACAGGCAGCTGGAATTGCTTCAGGTCACTACCTGTGACTATTTTAATTTCCTGTGAGGGACTTTGGGCAGGTTAAGGCAAGTTTCCCAAATGTCCAGTTGTGCCCATGCGCCCAAAGGTTGCGCATCCTTGGCTTCGGTCACGGGTCCATGGCCTGTACCTTGCCAGCAAGAGCTCTCGTCTCTGCAGATCTTGGAGCGCAGTGGCTGCATACAGGCAGTGATCCAAGTGCCTTCAGTGGCCAGAGTGGCACGCTGTGCTCCCGATTGCCAGACCCAGGCGAGTCTGGCTTCCTGCCCATCTTGTGCCCCCAGCCTGCACCGAAGCAGCGGGAGGCCCCAGGCAAGGTCGACCGTGAGCAAGTTAGCAGCTCTCGGGGCTTACCGAAGAGATGGGGTCCCTCTGGCTGGCTCCCTCCCACACGCGGTCTGGCCTGCGGGAAAGAGCCACTGGCTTCACTCCCAATGGCCCATGTCAGCGATGGCAGTTCCAGAGTAGACTGAGGGTTTACCGAAACGCTACGCACTGGCCTAACTGCGCATGTGTGTTTGTGCACCTTCCAGAGTGAGCAGTCTGTTGCGGAAAAGGCCAAGCCTGTAACTGGGACACCCTCAAAAAGCCGGAAGAGCCTGTTCTCCGATGAGGAGGACGCTGAGGTACGGCCCGGACCATTCCACTCTGTGTCGGACCATCCGCGCAGCGCGCCCCTGCCAGGCCCGCTCCCGGGGCCCCAGATGGCCGGTGCGGCCCCCGGTGGGAGCTGTCGGTGTCCGGAGTCTGCCATTGCGACTGACAGCAGGAGTGAGCGCTTGCACATCGGCTCCACTGGGTGGGGGGCATGAGCTGCCTGGTGCGGAGGAGCCTGAGCCCCCCTTGCCTCAGGCAGAGCACCTCCTCTCCCCAGGCCCTGCATCCCCCCAGGCTGAACGCCAAGGGGAGTGGCCAAGTGGGCGAGTGCGTTTCTGCATGGATTGCTAAGTGCCACACGTTTGTGTCCCACAGGACTTATTTTCATCCAAGACGCCCGCCAAAGCAAAGAACTCGTGTCCGTCTAGCAAGGTGACGACAAAGCCCGCACTTTCTCTGTTTGCAGATGAGGAGGAAGAGGTAGGGCAGCATCTGGCCTGGTGGGACTGGCATGGCCCCATTCCCAGGGACTGATTTTGGCCCCCTCTGGTGGTCCTTGTGGAATAACATGCTGACATCCGTGCAAATACAATCAGAATTATTCAAAGCCAAGCACCTCTATTTTAAAACCTGTCAGAAGTGCAGAACAAGTGTGAGCAGGGTTCAGAGACATTGTCCTACATGAGAAGTGGGGTTGTTAACAGACTCCATCAAGGAGAGGCAGAGATAAAAGAGAGAGATCTGAAGTACAGACAGGGAAAGGAAGCAGCAAGGAGGAGAATAAAGAAAAAGGGGGGCTGAGAACTTGCCTTGAGAAAAGTGGGGCAGGGTGGCTCTAGACGGAGATACTGATGGCCCTTCTCTCCCAACACTGTTGTGGAGTCGAGAGTCATACCAGATTCGGAGGACTCCTTGAGGTCCGCCTGCCCGCCCCCCCGCCCCGCAGGTTTACATCCGAGCTATTCTCAGAGTCCGCCTGAACACCTGGAGTGAGTGGCCTGGAGATGAGCCCCTCTTCCATTTCGATACCTGGAGGCCAAGTTCTGTGTGGCCCATCCTCGCCATCTGAAGAGTCTGCATCTCCCTGGTCTTGACGCTCATGCCAAGCAAACTCCCTCTTCCCAGCAGCGACTTAGGGCTTGCTTGGCCTTGGTGCACAAGAATTGGGATGGTCTAACCCTGTGCATAGGCTCACCCGAACATCTGTTGTATAGCATCTGGAAAACATTTTGAGGGATAAATAAATATATGAGCACCTTATCTGAAACTTTGATCATTCTGAAATAAAATATTCCATTAAAAAAAATAAAGATCTTTTGGGGGAAGAGGAAAACTTTTCTTTCAATTTTTGGGAGGCTTCTACATTTCTTTCCTTGTATTAAATGTTGCTCTGTCCAGACGAGGAATTCATATGCACAAGTGTGTAGCTACTCAAACGACGAGTTATGGGCATGCAACCAGTTGGAAATGTTAAGAATCCAGTTAATATTTACTCTGTAACATCAGCCAATCACATTCTGATTCTTCGCTTTGGTTAGTTCTTCTGTAGTTCAGCAGAGGAAACTACAGTTGGGGAAGTGTACATGGGGGGCATGTCGTGAATGGAGCTGGCTGGAGCCGGGGTCAGACTAGATGGCCTGGGAGGACCCTTCTGACTCGCTCTGTTTCTATGTTTCTAAGTAGGTGGCTTTTCTACCATGTTACAGTAAATCAGTTCTTTCTCTTTTATGTCTTTCAGGAACTCTTTCAGTCTGGGCCTAAGGCACATGTGTCCAAGCCTTTCCAAGATAAAGCAACAACTTTACTCTTTGGCAGCGATGAAGAGGTACGAAAGGCTGGGGCTGCTTATAGATGTCAGCTGAGTTGCTGGGAGAGTTTTTAGAATAGAGCCTTTGCTCCGTGGCCTTAATGTTCAGTTGCGTTTTGAGCTGTTGGCGGCTGATGCTTTTCTCAGCTGCTCTGCTTCAGAGTCAAAAGCTGTGACATTGATAACAATGGCAATTCTTTCTTAAACTCCAGAAAGAAACAGTCATCATCTCTAGGGTAGTATTTCCTCTTGGCCTTTAGTTGCAAGGACATTCAGAGAGCCTTGTTTAGCGAGCTGGTAACAGTTGTGCTCACAAAACAACTGCACCTTAATTGAAAGGGAAAAACCATCCCGGTTCTCTTGCCCCCTTCAGAGGGGCTAGAAGAGGGAGGGAGGACGGAAGGAAGGAAGGAAGGAAGGAAGGAAGGAAGGAAGGAAGGAAGGAAGGAAGGACGGACGGAAGGATGGAAGGAAACTCTTCAGGGCACCTTTTCTCCTCCTCTCAGTCCCAATCAGGGATTCTGTAGGTGCAGCACAGGGGTGCTGCCTGCATCTGTTGGGAGGCTGTACGCACTCTGAGCCTGTTGCATTCACACCATCCAGGGAGGGAGGCATTCCCTTGTCTGTCATGGCCAGTTTGCAAGAGGTCATTCCTGTAGAAGCTGGGGTGGGGGGGTGGGCATTTCTCACAGCAGCAGCCCTGGCCTGCCCATCCTGCTTTCTTGAAAAAAGCATAAAATTGACACCCTGGCATCTGCTGCTGCTGGAAGAGATGCTTTTTACAGAGCTGTAAAAAACCCATGCGTGAATCTTTGCAGGGTCAGCGCCAGTCTGAATAGACCAAACTGGACCGTATGGACCAACAGTCTGACTTTATAAGGCAGCTTTGTGTGATAGCATGGAAATGGTTAAAATTACTTGTATTTCATACACCCTAGAAAGAGAGGCACTATCCATTTCCTCTTTTAATTTCCCAGAGTGGTGTTCCACTATTGTTGCTGTTACCTTGCATGTATATTACTACTATTAGGGTCATCATCTATTATCACTTCTTAGTTAATATGAGTGTTCAATGATGCGTCTTGATAATATGCTTGGCTCTGTGAAGACGACAATGTTGGGAGCACCTGTTGAATTTTTAGGACCAGTGGCATACCGCCAAAGAAGTCAAGCCTGCCTTGGAAGGCAGTCAGAAGGTGGAACCTGCACACCCCACCTCTGCTGTTAGTAACACGATTCAGAAGGGCCTCTTTGAGGAGGAAGTGGAAGAGGATCTGTTTGCGATCACGACACCCAGGTAAGATGCTCGGCATCAGTGATTAGTCGAGCAGCTTTCCTGACATTGAATACTGTTCTGTTTTACTGTTTATTTTTGCTTTAAGATGTTGGGATAAGATTTCATGACAAACCTCTTTTCATCACTTTTTTTGCGAACCAGAGATAGGGGGTCTTATTTTCTCTGTTCAAGGACTAGGAGGTGGGGAGGACAAGATTGTGCCACTCAAAGTTTCTTTCTTTCCAAAAAATTTCAACTTGTTATTACCAGTAAGTAGGAAGAAATTTCTCCCAGATCGAGGCAAGACACTCAGCTATGTCCAGTCTCTGATGGGGAGAGAAATACTGATGGGGAGAGAAATACTTGTGGGGAGGAGGAAGAGTCTTCACAAAATGTTCCTCTTTCTTGGGGCAACCCTCAAATCACCTTGTGCCTGTAATGCTTTGCTGGGGACAGTTTTGAAGACCCACCATGGGAGAACCTAGGCTTGGCAGCAGGAACCCAAGTGCCATAAAGGACTCTTGAAATACGGAGATCCCGTGAGTGTGTGTGTGTGGTGTTTTGGCCATCACCCCTTCTTTTCCTGGGATCACTTCTTGAAAGGGGAGTAAACTTGTGACTTGCTTCTAGTTTGGATTTTAATCTGAGATGGAGAAGAAGGAACTTTCAGTGTCACCTCTCTCTTGCCACTTACAGTATTAAGTCTGCAGGACTTGTTTCTGGTTCTGAGCCTGTGAGCATTGCTAGCACCTGCAGTAGTACCTGCTTATAAAACCCATTGAAGGTATTTACATGAATGTGGCTTAGATTAGTCTACAGTCCGTGCTAAGAAATGGATTTTACCTTACTTAAAATAAAGAAGCTGGCAGTAACAAGCTGGTGAAGATAGCAAAATGCAGCACATGTTCAGGCTCTCACCTGTTTGGGGCCTGTGGTCTGGAAGTTTTCCTAGCGAAACTTGTGTTGGTGAGGAGCACTCTGCTTCCTCCCCACAGTATATTTAGGCACAGTTCCTGTCCGCTTCCTCAGTTTCTTTCTGGCTGCACCGTGGGTACCTTGGGAAATTCCATGTCCATTTTCCCTTGCTCCACTTCCTTTCTCTCTTCTTCGCTCTTCTCAAACTGTAGCCCTTTTCAGAATTCTCTCTTGCCTAGGTGAAGGCCACCTGGTCAAGGTCTGCCCGCAGTGCCAGGCCTTCGCCAAGCAGTCACCACCTCCCAAGAACCTGAGTCTCCCTTGGAAGAGGGGAGAGATTCTAGGGGAAGGTCCTCTGGATGGTTCCATCTTCAGGGCATGAGACCCAACAATACGAAAGAAGGCTGTGGACTCAGCCTTCCACGCCATCTGTATCAAAGACATATTCCATCTCGGTTAGGGCATTGTCTCACCTGCTTTTTCCACTGCTCCATCCAGCCTGACAGAATTGGACCCATCCAACTGAGCCCTCCCTCTGAGCTTGCCAAACCTTTGTCCCCGAGTGACACCAGTGGTCACATTTTGAGGTTTTGATGCCATGTTGTTGTTACAAACTGTATACATAACTTGAGTCAGGAATTCTCAAATTTGACAAATATATTGGAGTAATATGGTTTGCCTGCCTTCTTTTTCTTTCTCGCTGCAGTCAAAGAAAACCCCAAAGAGCTGCTCTCCTATTTGAAGATGATGCACTCAGTGGAGACTGGCTGTTCGGCTTCCAGCCATCCGCTCTCCCAGGTGGTGCCCAAGCAGCAACAGCGCAGGTATGCACTATTCTAAACAGGGGATTTCGGACTATTCCAAACTGGACCAACCCATACTCCAGACACTTGGCAGCTCCCTCTTTACCCACCTCACAACCTGCTGCCATTTCATGGACAGAGAGCCCTCCTAGGAGCTGTTGTGGCCACTTTTGTGGTCTAATCATCAAGTACCCACTCCATACCGTGCACACCATCTCAATTCTTAAGAGACTCAGTGAAGATTGTGAAGGGAAGGACAGGAAGTTACTGACTACCTCCAGTTCATTTTTTCCCCTTGCATTTCTCTGTAAGAAACAGCAACCCCATTTTGGAAAATCCTGGATGGAATGTCAAAATAAGGGTTTGATAGCATCTTCTATAATAAATTCATTAAAAATTACTAGAATAAATTTTATAAATAAACAGGATAAATGCATTGTGACGGAAACGTTTCTTTGTTCTTCTGCTTGAAGCCCTTTGACTTAATTTGTGGGGTTTGATGGTGTATATGGGCTCCTGAGATGAGGCTGTAGATCAGACCATCTGGCCATTCCCTGGCCACCCACCCCCCAGCTGGGCCTGTGGCTGTGCTCAGTTTCTCAGGGCACAAATGCTTTGTGTTTAGAGTTTTGAAACCAACAAGCTTTCGAATTACATGAGAAAAGAGTTTGGCTCCTCATCCTTTACTACTTGGTGGCTAGGTGGAAGCATCTGAGAAGAATCTGGTGGAAAAGAAAGCAGAACCTTTGAATGAACCTGATATACTTCATGGTCTTAGAAGAAGAGATGCAGAAGAGCAGCAATGGAAGGAGAAAGTAAGAAAAGCCCATATATTTTAAGGAAACCCCTGGGAAATGTTATTTTAGGAAGACCCTGTTCTGTGGCTATTGCAATACAGGCAGATCGTTGAAGTTGGACCCAAGAAGCTTTGATTCAGGGTCCAGTTAATGTAAATTTATGTTCTCGCCACCAGGTGCTCTCACTCCTTTTGAGTACAGTCCTCTATTAAATACCTAAATACACCCAAAGCAGCATACAAACATTCAATGCAATGTTAAAGTGACATCTCAGAAAATAATACATGGGCAGAGGAATCCTGTGGCCACTAGACAGCTCCTGGGACTGCTCAGATGGGAGCACAGATCCTCCTCTCCTGCTTCCCTGAGGTCACTAGGACGTGGCTGGCTTAGTGGAAGTTCCAGGTGTTGGGGCTGGAAACATGGTACAAGAAAAGTACAAAATGTCAATATGATTAGATGAAATCAGATTCTGACAAATTACAGTAGGTATCCAAGAAAGGCCTTCTTGCAGCAAAAATGTTTTCTTCCAGTAGAAGCTGGTAGTTGCTTTAATCATCTGTTTAGCATAATTGATACATATGAGCTTACAGGATAATGCAAGCAGAAACACAGCCTTCTGCCCCAGCCTGAATTTTGGCAGAAGGGAAAGCAGAATAAGAAGGGGAAGGAGAGATACAGTGCTGTTAATTTCCAAATCCATGTTACTCCAATATCTATTGGGCCAAATTGTGCATGTTTTCGAGATCTTCAGCCCTCTTCTTTAAGAATTACGTAACAGGAGGGAGTAAAGAGGACTCCGTGGTGGCATCCATTTTGCAGAACGGCACAGCAACACAGTTGTGCTGCTTGACAAGGCAGATCACAGGTGCCAAGTTCGCCCTGCTTCACAACAGTGCTCTCTCGATGTCCAAACAGGGTGTTTGAGGTATCTGATGGGGGTGTGAGAGCTAATTTTAAGTATTGTGCTGGTGTTTGGCCCTAGATTGAATAGATGTATGTATTCATTCTCAGCCACTTCTAGAAAAAGATGCCAAGAGAAAGACTAAAAGTGTATTTAGCTTATTTGATGAAGAGGAGAAAAGTGAAGATACAGATGTTAATAAGAGCACCCAGAAAGGAAATGAGAAGGTGAGTAACCTGCACGGTCGTACCGAGAGAGAAAAGAACTTTCTTGCAATGTCCTCTCCTTGGCTTCTTGGCACATGGCTGAGGAAGGGCTTGCATGTGCTCTTAAAACCGCTGCTTTGTTTTCCAAAGTGGCTTCTCCACAGACTCCAGTATCTTTTATGTGCCTTGTAAAAAAAATGTGGGCTTTTAAAGGGCTAGCATTATTTTATATGTTGGAGTTTTATTTGGAAATCGTGCTGATGTTTGTTTTAACTACAAACTGTTCTCAAAGCATTGGAACTGAAGCATGGGCTATAATTACCCCTGCCAACTGCAGAAGGTGGCAGTGCCTGGTGTGAAGACCTTCTGAATGCTTACTGAGCAAACAGAAAGTTGTAGCAATCACTCTTACGTGCTTCTCATTTTTAAAGTACTTTCAGTTTGACAAATACTGAAGTGGTCAATATATGGAATGGAATGCGCTCCCCAGAGAGGTCCACCTGGCGCCGTCGTTATTTGTTTTTCGGCGCCAGGCGAAGACCTTTTTATTTAAGCAGCATTTTAAATGTTAATATTATTGAATGTTATTTGGCCAGGGTGGCTTATTTTATTCTACTGTATATATTTTAATTGTTATTGTTTTAATTTATTGTGTATTTTATTCAATGTTGTGAGCCGCCCCAAGGCTTCGGCAAGGGGCGGCATAGAAATGTTTTAATAAATAAATAAATAAATAAAACGATATAAGAGAAGGGGACTTTTCAGTGTTGGCACCTGCCTGTAGATGGCCAGAGTGCCGCTCGGTGCTTACAATACATTTAGTCTTCCTGGTCTCTGTGCAAGGAGGCAAAAATGGTGGGCCCGGGTGCTAAACAGAAAACCTCTCCAAGGGGCCCCATTCACATCTAGGTGAGAAGGAGCCACCTGCCAAAACTGCTCCCTCAGCACTGTGAGGTCCAATTGCTCCCCAGAGTGTCAGGTCTGGTGACTCAACTGACAACAATCTCGGTCTTCAAGGCTCCACATTTCCCAGCCAGCCTCCTCTTTCTGCTGCATCAGCAGTTGGTATGGGGCACCGTACTGTTCTGATCCCCGCGTGGCGTGAGAGCGGCACTTCTGCCCCCGGGGATGCTTCCAGCCTGCTGAAAGGGGCTCCTCCCCCCCGCCCCGATTAACTCTGCCACAATGTTGTATTCCATGATAAGGGATGGATGGGCCCCTCGGAAAGCAGCAGGGTTAAGGCTCACGTGGTTAAATTGGTGGATGCAGCAGCCAGTTCCTGCCGCAATGTGCTGTGAGGACCATAAGTTGTCATCGGCCTTTTTTCATTCCAGCCCCCAGAGAAGCATGCTTGTTCCAAGAGCACAGGTGTCTTTCAGGATGAAGAACTTCTCTTCAGTCAGAAGCTGCAGAAAGATAACGATCCTGATGTCGACCTTTTTGCAAGTAACAAAAAAAGGGTCGGTTGGTCTAAAAAAGTTTTACGACTTTTCACTTAAAATGGGTTATATTGAATTGTAACTTTAAGAAGAAAAGGAACCATTGCAAGGTTGTTTAGTAGCATGCAAGCCATTAAAATGTCATGCAAGACCTGGTAGTTATGTTTAAAGTACGTTTTATACTTCTTAAAATTTAAAGATAACGAAGCACTGCATATGATTCTGTTTGTATGATTTTGTCTTGGCAGTTTCAGATGATTTTGAGAGGCCAGGAATAACTGGTTCACTTCACAAATGGACGGTTCTGATTCGTTTCTTTTTCAGATTCCAAAGCCCAGGGTAAAGCTGCCCTCAGAAGGAGAGCTATTTGGAGATGATAGTGGGGATGATGGTCTCTTCAGCCATTCCAAAACAAAGCCCCTGGTACTTCCTGTTTTGTTGTAAGAATTTCAATGGATAGAAATGAAGGCAGAGAGGATGCCTTTTTCTCTGTGCTGTACCTAGCAGGTCCTGCATGCTTTTACAGGAAACATCGTATTCCCACCCTCTGCCTTCTGTTTAACCAGTTAGTGATCCATAAGAGCCCCCCCCCCGCCCCACCACTGCTTAGTTTGCTCAGGAGCCTTCAGTGAGGGACTTTGCCGGAAGTCTGTCAGAAGTCCCGAGTACGTAAACAATGTCTATGCGCCTTTTGACACCCTCAAAGAACTCCAGCAGGTTGGTGAGACCAAGACTTCCCCGTGCAGGAAGCCATGCAAATTAACAGCTTAAGAACTGAAGTCAAATGTATATGTGGTCATACGCTCTTAAGGCTTATTCACTTTTATCATTTTATTTTTTGAAAGGTGGCAGAAAAGAAAACAATAGTAAAGAAGAGCAATGTTGTCCTTTCTGAGGAGAAAGACAGTAAGGTTCTAGAGAGTCAAAATCTGAAGCAAGAAGAAGCAATGTTGGAGAATGCTGAGGTTTGTTTATTCCAACTTTGGGGGATGAGAAAACTTAGTGGCATTACAGATATTTACTGCAGGAAAGCATGTGGATATGCAGTGACCACGAAGGTGCTTGTTGCATCACTAGCTTCACATGACTGCTTCCTAAACTGCACCCTCACTGGAGAAGACAGCAATGCTGGGGGGATGATGAAGGCAGGAGGAAATGGGGAGCCCAGACATGAGTGGGATCAGTTCCCTGAGGAAGCCACAGCCCTGATGTTGCAAGATTGGAGGAAGGTTGCCAAGGATGGGACATTCTAGCGGGCTTTCATTTGTAGGGCCACCTCACATCACAACATTTGCAGTCTAGCAGTCTCAGGAGACTACATTTCTCCATACAGGAGGTCCTCATTGCAGCTGCCCGATGGACCTCCTGGCGTCCTGCCCCCTTCCTCCCCACTCTACTTGAACCTTGTCAGAGAGGGCTCAGCAAGGGGACCATTATTTCTGGGCTGTCTTGATGCTTTTGTGCTTCTGCAAAATGTTGTGTTAGTCCTAGTCACTTGGATTTATTGAAATCTGACTTTATACAGAAATTTGTGGGCCCTGCTGAACATAAGCGTAAAGAACCCGCCCCTCGGATTGGAAAATTACAAGTAATTTGTTTTACTTGGCTTTTAACTTTAAATTTCTGCTATTTTTTTCCTACATTCTTTTTTACTCTCAGCTCCAGCCCTTTCCTGTAGATGCAACTTCTGATTCCTGTAAATTGCATGTTTAATAGGACATGCTGTTCTTTCCTTTGGGAAAGAGAGATTTCTGAATAAAATTAAAATTACTGATCTGAGGAAGAGGGAGAGGGAAGGAGAGGTGTCTGTCTTTCCATGCGCATGGACTGTTCCTCCTGTGCCGCCTCCTGCCGCCTCTTTACCTGACTCTCATCCTTGTCAAATGCAAATACACTCTTGCTGACTTCCTTTTTGTTGATTTGGTATTTAGATGTGGCTAACCTATTGCTTCCATTAACAAGTCTCTCCTTCATTTTCTAAGGCAAATTTGGATATTAACCCAACAGTTTTGCTGCCTGGTGGTGTGAAGCCACCTCTTCCATATCCAAAGAGGCCAGGTCATGAATCCCATGGCACACAGCATGCCAAAATGCCCTCTGCTGCAGAAAGCAATGAAGAGCCGGGAGTGAGCTTTGATTTTCCCATGCAAGCAGACACTCTGCAGAATGCCAACAAGGTAACTCTTTCTTTAAAAGATAAGTTTTATTATTATTATGTTCTACAAACTAAACAATAAAACATCAATCATCAAAGACATCGGACATACTGGGTCAGCCCCCCATTTTTTTTATAACAATCCCTAGCCATATTCAAATCTATGCATAGTTCCGTTTCTCTAGCCAATAGTAAAAAGATTTCCAAGTTTGATAGAAATACGCATCCTCTTTCTCCCTCAGAGACAAAGTCAGCCTGTCCATTTCTGCGCAGTCCAGGATCTTTTTAAAAATCAGTTCACCAGTGGGTGGTTCTTCACTCCTCCAATGTTGGGCAAATACAATCCTTGCCGCAGTGATTACATGTAGAATCAGATACGTTGTTTATCGACATCATCAGAAACAATGCCTAATAAAAAAAACTTCAGGTTTAAATATTAAAGGTTTTTGTAACATTTCCTCAAGCCATTTATGTATTTTAACCCAGTATTCATTAACTTTCTCAATTGAAATTTGTTTAGTTTGGTACAGCTTTATAAAAAAATCTTCCACTATTTTCTTAATTGATGCACCTTGTACCTGCAGTTGTCCTTCTCCATCTTTCAATTTATGTATTAGTCCCTTTTCTCTTTCCTTCTTTAATTTGTAAGGTAACCATCTCCCTGGTTTGTTAGCATTTTCAAAGAAGTTCTATTTAGTCAGTTTCATTTGTTTAGCAAGTTGGTTTGTATCTAAGAGATTCAGTTTATGTTTTAGAATATTCATTTGTGTCTTAAGGACTTTTTTTGACGGATCTTCCTGAAGCACCTGTTCTAGCTTCGACAATTCATCTGTTAGTTTTAAGTCGTTCCTGCTTTCTCTTTTTATTTATTTTTGCTGAATATGTTATAATCAGGCCTCTAACATATGCTTTAGCTGTATCCCAAACATTTTGCAAAGAAGTTTCTTCAACTGTATTTTCTTGAGGGATTCCTTAGTTATTTCTTCTTTGAAATTTTTATCTTTTAATAAAGATTTATTAAGTGCCCATCTGGATGTTTTTATTGTTCCCTTCAAGGTCATGATTACAGGATTATGATTTGCCCAGACATTTGTATCTATTTCAGCTTCTAACAAATCTGGAATTAAGTCTGGAGTTATCCAAATCATATCAATTCTAGACCATGACCTATGTCTGTTCAAGTAAAAAGTATACTTGGCAGAGGTTGCATTTTCATGTCTCCAGCCATCTGTTAGTCTGAATTCCTCTGTTAAAGCAGGACTTTGGAAGTATCCTCCTACCTTTCTTCCCCTTAGTGTCACTCTTCTTGTGGTCTATTTTTTTATCCACAATTGCATTGAAATTTCCCATTAAACACAAAGTTTGATAGTCCATTTGCAAAAGTAGAGTATGCCGTTTTTGATAGAACGCTTCCTGATGATCAATTGGAGCGTAAATTGCCACTAAGAGCACCTTTTTTAGTTTCAGTGTCACTTCAACCAACAGAATGCTACCGTCTTCATCTGCTAGAATATATTTGGGATCCAATTTTTCTTTAATGTATAATGCCAGACCTCTTTTCTTTTGATGAGCAGAAGATATAAATAACTTTCCAAGTTCTGGACATTCCAAAAGCTTACTGTGTTGTCTCTTAATGTGTGTTTCTTGTAAACAAATTACATCTAATTTCAATTTTTGAAGTTCAGAAAAAGTCCTTTTCCTCTTAGAGGGTGCATTTAGTCCATTTACGTTCAAAGAGAATAATTCGATTCTTCCTTCCATTTTAAAAGCCATATTTGTAAAATATATATTTATCGATTTATATTAAGCCTTCACGCTTCTACCTTTTCTCTTTTCTTTTGGTTCCAGTAGCTGTTCATGTTCTTGTTGGTCTGTAGTCGCTATTTCTCCTTCTTCAGGGTGATAATTTGTTACAGCCACTGCCTCACCATTTTTCCCTCTTTTTGTTCAGTCGGCTCTTCATCTTCAAATGAGCTTCTGAATTTTTTATAAAAAATTGGGCCTTGAAGATTGAATCCATTCTAAATCTTGTAGAATTCCAAGTAAGAAGTTTTAAGGACTGTGATATGGGAGAAGAGGAAAAACTTATTTCTATCACCTTGCAAAACTAGAATTTGATTAATCATGTTGCACTATAAGCAAAACGAATTGCCATGAGGCTCACTAGGGCACTGTCAAAACCTGTTATTCCTATCTGCTTCATAGCACTGTCAATAACATTTTTCAAGGGGCATTATATAACAGATAACTTGCAATTAGCAGGCAGTTCAAAATTCCTGGCTTTGAATGTTTTCCAGAAGTGAGAGGCCTTATTTTTTGATGGTGGACATTCAACAAGCAAATGGGCATGCATTGGGGTGAACGTACAAATATAAGCATACTGGAGTCTCATGTTGTGTCCTGACATCCCCTTGATTGTCTTGATTGTAATTGAAGGGCAGGGTCAAGGTGACTGGGAAACGAAGGCCACCCACCAGAAGTGCCAGGCAACGAGCTGCAGAGGAGTCCAGGGAGAATGAAACAAACATTCCTGTGGATCCAGTCGTGCCTCTCTCAAAGGAGAATTCTGTGACAGCAGCCACAGTGTGTCCGTCCAATGCAGAATTGTGCAAAAAAGAAAACACTGAAAAAGCAAAAATGTTTCTATCAAGCAATAGCAGTGAGATAGATGGTAGCCCTGCCTTGAAATCAGGAGTCTGTTCTGATCCAGATGATTTCTTTGAGTCCGATGACCTTTCTGCTAACAGCATAACCTCGAAAGGGGCCACAAAGCCAAAAGCCACCGTGGAAACAGAGGACCTTGCGAACCGGGGTCCCAAAGATGGGGAGCAGTTACCTGTCCTATTGGCAGTGGATGCGGCAAGTGCTAGAGGCCACATCCGTCAGGGGAGACCTTCAAAGAAGCCCAGCCCAGCATCTTTTCTGGAGGATGAAGATGACCTCTTTGCTACGAGTAAAGCAGCTGTGAAGAAAAAAGATCCCAAACCCGCTGCTCAGCTGGCTCAGGACCCTCCTGTGCAAGATATTTTTGAGGTAACTTGGGCAGCTCCTTCATCAAACACGGGTCCTGTTATTGTTGTGCTTATTTTTGATTTTCTTTGCAGCTCTGTTGTTATGGTTAGTAATGAAGTGCGTGCACTTCTCTTTAGGTGAGGCGACAAAGAACGCAGTGTTGTGATACTGTAAAATAAGACAGTTCTGTTGAGCTTTGGGAATGCAGATTAATTGTAGAAGGACGTAACAGAGATGATAAAGTGTTTGGTGGGGCTCTAGGAATTTCCTAAATTAAATGTGTAGAAAGTTTTTGTCCCTCTCTCATAATACTAGAATCTGGGATTGTCAGACAAAGCTAAATGTTGGGGAAGGCCGAACTAATAAAAATAATTAGTTCACGCATTGGAGTTCCTCACTGCAAGAGGTAGGGATGGCCACAAATTTGGCCAACTTGAGGTAAATTCGTAGAGGACAAAGCTATCATTGCCCCTGCCCATTTTGGCCATGCGGCTTGTTTGGCACTGGGGCACTGTGCTCCTCAAAAGTCCGGTTGCTGGGAACCCTGAGTAGGAATGTACTTGTAATTGTGTTCTGCTTAGGGCTTGCTTTAGGCATCTGGCTACTGTAGAAATAGTAGTTTGGACTGAATGGGTCTTAGGAATCCTTTTTAAGATTCTGAAGAATCAGCCTTAAGAATGCAGTAATACATTGTACAAAATTGAGTGCAGTTTGTTAAGTTCATGCCCATTTCTTCTCTTTTCATTTTAATTCTTTGAAAACAGTCAGTTTGGCCATTTAATCTCAGTAGTGCTGCAGCGTCAGGTGTTCACTGGGTCATTTTATATGCATTCAATAGTTTCTTTACCAGGGAGTGTCTCAAATGTGAGCCTAGATTATATTCAGATACAACACTTTTATTATTTCTGTATATTTCCTTGCAGCATACAATAAGTTTTTTTAAAAAATTAATGGCTGTTTTACATGTTAACTGAAGTGGCAAGAAAATGAATTGCATGCGGCTGGATCCCCAGCAGCTCCACAAGGAGCTGAAAGCTGGAAGTAGTTCAGCCATTGCCTGTCCATAGTTCCTCCATACACCCCCTGCACGAGAGGTGGGAGACCCCACAGTTCAGAAGGACCGCGAGCGGCTTCCCAGTGAGCCAGCCAGTGAGAGCGTGGCAGAAGTGCGATTGCCCAGCATCTTCAGGACAAGCCCACGGCCATGTCCACTGGGCAAGGCTGGCTTGCGGAGTGGGCCTGAGCACAATCGATGCACTTTTGGACAGAAAAGAGGTTCATAACTCCCATATTTCCTCAGCAAGAGTTTTAGCAGTTGGTTTTTGCACATGATAGGGTTCACCCAGATACGCAGCTACAAAGACCTGGTCGCTCCTGAAGTTTCTCTCCTTTTTTCAAGGATGATATATTTGCATTGGAAGCCACTAAGCTGCCCATCAAGGCAAAAGAGATGGAAGCAAACCTGTTCAATAGTGATATATTTGCTGATCTTGCTGTAAAACCAAAAGAAAGGAGTGCCAAAAAGAAGACAGAAGCTAAATCTATATTTGATGAGGACGCAGGTAAATCACAGAATAATTTAACAATTAAAAATAAGAATAATGTAAGCAGTTAAATCTGCAACCCAGACATAAAGGTCTGCAGGAAACACATAGGTGCAATTACAAATGCTGTACCTATTCGTGTAGCTGGATCCAAGTTGAAGAGTAAGAGGAAATAAGAGAGAAGCTACACTTGGTGTGTCATTTAAATTTTCATTTTTTCCCTCAGATGATATTTTCTCATCACAAGGTCAGACCAAGATATTGACCAAAAAGGCTCAGTCCATTCAGACAGCTTCAGGAAGTAAATCTGAATCCAAATCATCAAGTACTTTTGAAGACCCACTGAATGCATTTGAAGACCAGTGAAGAAGCTGCTGCTGACTCGTTTGTAATGCTCAAGACTGCCCACCTTGAATGCCTTTGCTTCCCAGTCAAGCAGCAGTCATGTCAGGGCTGTGGATATTCCTTGGCTTGTTCCTCATTCACCCATCTAAATGTTTTTCCCTGCGTGTTCTCTAAAGGCACATAGCTTTGTAAAATCAGCGTCAGCAGCCTTTCATAGTCATGCTCAAATTAGCTTCCCCATTCCCTGGCTGATGTAATCAATTGTACATAATACAGATTTTATTAATCTGGGCTACAAAAAGAAATCACTGGTATGGATAAATAGCATTTGTGAAGCCAGTGGTGTGCTGCTGTCCTTTTAGTCTGTTTCCTGCTCTGCTCCAAGGAGAAAGCAAACTTAAGATCTTGTCTTTCTACGGTTAATTTTGTGGTATGTTACTGAATGATGCTTCTTTTTCATGGTTTGGAATTGGGTAGTCGTCCTTTTCCTACAAGGGGAATGGGATGGAATTCCTTGCTGTTAGGATGTCTCCTGGCTGGATCCTCAGTCCTGGATTCCTGTGATCCTGTGGGTTGTCCTTTTCATTATTTTCCCTTAGTGGCAGTTATAGCAAGGTCTTATATAAGCTTGTTTCTGATCGCCTTGCTTGAACTTTGTGCTTCTGAACTTTCTGTGAGCATCTGGATCGGATGCAGCATCAGTAACCTGGGACAGGCTCCGGCCCAGTTCCTTTGCAAGCGCCATTGTGCCGAGGCTGGCAGTGTTCTTTCCTGTTGGGACTGGAGGACTGTGCCTCCGATGGGGAAACGAGGGCTTGCCCACTGGGTAAACAGTGGGGCAGGAGCACTGGCAGCTCACATACCGGCTGGTGAGTAGAAATAAGCAGAGATGGAAGAAGAAAAGGAGGTGGCTGCTGTTACTGAAGTGAGAGGAAAGTTCTGTGGTGGGTTGCCATATGTTGCAAAAATATGCCATCCGAAGTATACAAGGCGGCATCTGCAGGCACTTGGTCAGTCCCGAGGCCCAAGTTGTTCGGAGACGACATGACCAGGAAGGCCAAATGTGGCTTCAGTCACACTGGGAAGGTGGGACAGAAGTGATGGCTCCATTAGGGATTCTGGGGCCACTGCAGCATTGTAGACAGATTGGGACAGAGGGTTTCACCCAGCCCCTTATCTGGAGCATTCCCAACTAGCTGCACAATTGGAGATCGCTCAGCAGGTTTCCCCCACGCCACAAGCGCATGCCACCACCACAAGGAACACTCCCGATGAGCCCAGGAGCGCAGCGCATGCATCAGTCACAAGAGGCCAAGTGCGGGGCAGGCGGAGCAGATGGGGCTGGCTGCCATCCTGAGCTGCCTTGGTAGAGTGGCCACCAGCTGCTGCTGCTGCTGCCCCGGAACGGTTTCGGCCACCTGTGCAACCTGTGCGGCCCAGGCGCCTACGGGTGGGTGCACCCCAGAGTGCTCCCTGCACTCCGCGAGGCATCCCTGGCGCAGTGGCTGGCCTGGGCTTGGACAAGAGGCGCCACTCCCGGAACGTTGGCCTGGCCTGTGCCCGGCGGGCAGTCCGACATGGTGGCCAGGGGGCCGCGGCCGCCCGCCCTCCCCGGGAGGGCGCTGAGGGGGCCGGGCGGCAGAGGGCGGCGCGTGCCCAGCTCGCGCTGCAGCTGAGGGAGCGGGCGGCCTGCGGGGGGAGGGCGAGCAGGGCCCCTCCTGCGCAGCAGGGCAGCGGCGCCTGCTCGCCCCGGGGCCTGCGGCTGCGCGGAGGCGCTCCCTGCCCGGGCCGCGCGGGCGCCTCCAGGCCCGGCGTCCCCGACCGGGTTCGGGCCGAGCTGCGGCCGGGCGCCCCGCCC